AGATTACTGGTTCTGTGGATGAAGGGAAAGCAGTGGATGTATTGTTTCTTGACTTTAGCAAAGCTTTTGACACAGTCTCCCACAGTATTCTTGTCAGCAAGTTAAGGAAGTATGGGCTGGATGAATGCACTGTAAGGTGGGTAGAAAGTTGGCTAGATTGTCGGGCTCAACGGGTAGTGATCAATGGCTCCATGTCGAGTTGGAAGCCGGTGTCAAGTGGAGTGCCCCAGGGGTCGGTCCTCCGGCCGGTTTTGTTCAATATCTTCATAAATGATCTGGAGGATGGTGTGGATTGCACTCTCAGCAAATTTGCGGATGATACTAAACTGGGAGGAGTGGTAGATATGCTGGAGGGCAGGGATAGGATACAGAGGGACCTAGACAAATTGGAGGATTGGGCCAAAAGAAATCTGATGAGGTTCAATAAGGATAAGTGCAGGGTCCTGCACTTAGGACGGAAGAACCCAATGCACAGCTACAGACTAGGGACCGAATGGCTAGGCAGCAGTTCTGTGGAAAAGGACCTAGGGTGACAGTGGACGAGAAGCTGGATATGAGCCAGCAGTGTGCCCTTGTTGCCAAGAAGACCAATGGCATTTTGGGATGTATAAGTAGGGGCATAGCGAGCAGATCGAGGGACGTGATCGTCCCCCTCTATTCGACATTGGTGAGGCCTCATCTGGAGTACTGTGTCCAGTTTTGGGCCCCACACTACAAGAAGGATGTGGATAAATTGGAAAGAGTCCAGCGAAGGGCAGCAAAAATGATTAGGGGTCTGGAACACATGACTTATGAGGAGAGGCTGAGGGAACTGGGATTGCTTAGTCTGCAGAAGAGAAGAATGAGGGGGGATTTGACAGCTGCTTTCAACTACCTGAAAGGGGGTTCCAAAGAGGATGGTTCTAGACTATTCTCAGTGGTGGAAGAGGACAGGACAAGGAGTAATGGTCTCAAGTTGCAGTGGGGGAGGTTTAGGTTGGATATTAGGAAAAACTTTTTCACTAGGAGGGTGGTGAAACACTGGAATGCGTTGCCTAGGGAGGTAGTGGAATCTCTTTCCTTGGAGGTTTTTAAGGTCAGGCTTGACAGAGCCCTGGCTGGGATGATTTAGTTGGGTATGGGTCCTGCTTTTGGGCAGGGGGTTGGACTAGATGACCTCCTGAGGTCCCTTCCAACCCTGATATTCTGTGATTCTATGCCATTACAGTGGGGGTGGGGGTCTGGGGACTAACATTAGCTACTACTGAACCAGTCGGAGTCAGATTACAGCTCTGCAGAATTACAGCTCTGTTCTATTTCTTAAAGCCATAAACACTTGTGCATACAAAAATTTCAATTCCATTTTCCCATTCACTGACAAAACAAAACTAATTGGAGGATCGTGTTGTAATTAATTGACCCTCCTGGTGGCCACCACTTCTGGTCCTCTAGTTGATATTGAGGCCAGTCAACTTTACAGAATCATTTTAATTGGCTCTTAGTCATCGGATCTGCACCAAATACCTTCCAGTTTGCTGGAATGCATTCTAGGGGCATACACCGTGCCCTAACCCCCGAGCTCTGTCCCTGTCCCATACCTACAGGGTAACTCTGGGCGTCCCCAGGTTCCAACAGAGCATACAATCCGGATTTCAAAAGGTTCCCACCTTATCCAAGGGACCGGTTCTTCACCGTCGTTCGCAGCTGCTCTACCCCTATGTCTAAGAGACTGGTTCTTCACCATCGTCCACAGCTGCTTCTCCACTATATGAGTGCGTTGCACCGTTGTGCCCTCCGGGGTCGATCAAATCGCGTCTCCTCCGAGGCTCCCGATGAACTCACTAGTGCGCGCTGGGCGTCGGTTCTCACCGCAATCCTCGACCTCCAGGAGGGGTCCGGGCAAGGCTAAATAGCAGCCTCGTCACCCACCCAAGGACGCCAAAAGCTGTTGCCGGTACCCAGTGCCAAGAGGTTAAACAACAGCTTGAGTTGGTTCGCTACCCGGTGTGCTACACCCAATAATCACAACGGGGTGGAGAAGCAGAAAAGTTTATTTGCAGCTGCAAAAAGGTACAGGGAGAATAGAATCTCAAATCCTGCACACAGAGCAGGAAGTTACACAGGCTTTTATACATCCTTTTTTCCAGCATACTTATCCAATAGCAAGCTGCTCCAAGTATCCATATAGCCAGCCAATCCAATTCCCAGCTAGTTCTCTTGTTCTCTGTATCATTTGTTAAACTATACATAAAGCTGCTTTATTCAGCATTGTTCTTCCATATCTGCTCTGTTCGGCCTTGCTTAGTTTCAAGCAAAAAGCCTGGTATGATAAACATGCCAGAGAGCGTTCCTTCAAAGTAGGAAACCAGGTCATGGTCTTAAAGGCGCTCCAGGCCCATAAAATGGAAGCATCGTGGGAAGGGCATTCACAGTCCAGGACCGCCTGGGAGATGTTAATTATCTCATAGCATTCCCCACCTCCAACCGAAAGCCTAAGGTGTACCATATTAATTCTCTAAAGCCCTTTTATTCCAGAGAATTAAAGGTTTGTCAGTTTACAGCCCAGGGAGGAGATGACGCTGAGTGGCCTGAAGGTGTCTACTATGAAGGGAAAAGTGCAGGTGGCATGGAAGAGGTGAACCTCTCCATGACCCTTGGGCGTATGCAGCGACAGCAGATCCAGGAGCTGTGCGCTAGCTACGCGCCGACGTTCTCAGCCACCCCAGGACTGACTGAACGGGCATACCACTCCATTGACACAGGTAATGCTCGCCCAATTAAAGTCCAACCTTACCGGGTGTCTCCTCAAGCTAAACTGCTATAGAACTGGAGATCCAGGATATGTTACAGATGGGTGTAATCCGCCCCTCTGGAAGTGCATGGGCATCTCCAGTGGTTCTAGTTCCCAAACCAGATGGGGAAATACGTTTTTGCGTGGACTACCGTAATCTAAATGCTGTAACTCACCCAGACAACTATCCAATGCCACGCACAGATGAACTATTAGAGAAACTGGGACGGGCCCAGTTCATCTCTACCTTGGACTTAACCAAGGGGTACTGGCAGGTACCGCTAGATGAATCTGCCAAGGAAAGGTCAGCCTTCACCACACATCTCGGGCTGTATGAATTTAATGTACTCCCTTTCGGGCTGCGAAATGCACCCGTCACCTTCCAAAGACTTGTAGATGGTCTCCTAGTGGGATTAGGAGAATATGCAGTCACCTACCTTGACGATGTGGCCATATTTTCGGATTCCTGGGCAGAACACCTCTACAAAAGGTCTTTGAGCACATAAGGGAGGCAGGACTAACTGTTAAGGCTAAGAAGGGTCAAATAGGTCTAAACAGAGTGACTTACCTTGGACACCAGGTCGGTCAAGGAACTATCAACTCCCTACAGGCCAAAGTGGATGCTGTCCAAAAGTGGCCTGTCCCAAGGTCAAAGAAACAGGTTCAATCCTTCTTAGCCTTGGCCGGTTATTACAGGCGATTTGTACCGCAATACAGCCAAATTGCCGCCCCATTAACAGACCTAACCAAAAAGAAACAGCCAAATGCCGTTTAGTGGACAGAAGAGTGTCAGAAGGCCTTTAACCAGCTTAAAGCAACACTCATGTCTGACCCTGTACTAAGGGCCCCAGACTTTGACAAGCCGTTCCTAGTAACCACAGATGCATCCGAGCGTGGTGTGGGAGCAGTTTTAATGCAGGAAGGACCGGATCAAGAATTCCACCCTGTAGTGTTTCTCAGCAAAAAACTGTCTGAGAGGGAAAGCAACTGGTCAGTCAGTGAAAAAGAATGTTACGCCATTGTCTACGCTCTGGAAAAGCTACGCCCATATGTTTGGGGACGGCGTTTCCACCTGCAAACCAACCATGGTGCACTAAAGTGGCTTCACACCGTCAAAGAAAATAACAAAAAACTTCTTCGGTGGAGTTTAGCTCTCCAAGATTTTGATTTCAAGATACAACACATCTCAGGAGCTTCTAACAAAGTGGCTGATGCACTCTCCCATGAAAGTTTCCCAGAATCAACTGGTTAAAATCGTCCTTGAGATGTGGAAAATATTGTTAGTCTTTATGTACTTGGTAGTATATTTAGAGGTGCATGTGTCATATTAACTCTGTTTTTTCCAGGAAGAAATCCCAGCCAGCGTTTCACCCTAGCTGTGATTTGGGGGATGTGTCATAAATATAAAGGGAATGGTAAACCCCTTTAAAATCCCTCCTGGCCAGAGGAAAAATCCTCTCACCTGTAAAGGGTTAAGAAGCTAGGATAACCTCGCTGGCACCTGACCAAAATGACCAATGAGGAGACAAGATACTTTCAAAAGCTGGGGGGAGGAAAAAACAAAGGGTCTGTCTGGGTGATGCTTTTGCCGCGGACAGAACAGGAATGGAGTCTTAGAACTTAGTAAGTAATCTAGTTAGATATGCGTTAGATTATGATTTCTTTAAATGGCTGAGAAATTAAGTTGTGCTGAATAAAATGACTATTGCTGTCTGTGTGTCTTTTTTGTAACTTAAGGTTTTGCCTAGAGGGATTCCCTATGTTTTGAATCTAATTACCCTGTAAGGTATCTACCATCCTGATTTTACAGAGGTGATTCTTTTTACTGTTTCGTCTATTAAAATGTTTCTTTTCAAGAACTGAATGCTTTTTTCATTGTTCTAAGATCCAAGGGTTTGGGTCTGTGGTCACCTATGCAAATTGGTGAGGATTTTTACCAAACCTTCCCCAGGAAGTGGGGTGCAAGGGTTGGGAGGATTTTGGGGGGGAAAGACGTTTCCAAACAACATTTTCCCAATAAACCCAGATAAACGTTTGGTGGTGGCAGTGGAAGTCCAAGGGCAAAGGGTAAAATAGTTTGTACCTTGGGGAAGTTTTAACCTAAACTGGTAAAAGTAAGCTTGGGGGGTTTTCATACAGGTTCCCACATCTGTACCCTAGAGTTCAGAGTGGGGAAGGAACCTTGACAAGTGACGTTCACTTTCTAACGTGGTTATTTCTTTGTATACAGTTTCCACGCTGGTGATGGCTGGAGCATGCAGTGTTGTAGCCTGCTTCTATGTTATCTTCTTCCACTCCGACTACAAGAGACTCCATGCCGAAGGATCGAATGCCACCTCAGTCAACAAAATTGGAATAGAAGCAACAGCTCCTGAAGCCTAAAATGTCTTATTTACAACTGTACACTAGAATGCTGGGAAAAAAGGACTAATCTCTGTGGGAAAGGGCCAGTCACACCTGTGCATTCAGCTGGCACGCTGGGGCCCCAAGCCTGGTATGGATCTTATAGGTGCTACGACAATACAAATGCTACGCCAAGTTTGATGACAGAGGAGCTGGAGTGTTGTCTGTCCCTGTGGTTCTCCACCACAGCCCAAGCTGGGCTTTTAGGACAAGATGCAAGGGAGGGGGATTTGTGCTATTTGGATCTTGCTAAAGTGATTAAAAGAACCAAAGATGGATTGGACATCTACAGAGATAAGAATATTTAGTTGAAATAGTAATGCTGAAGTATTGCAAGGGAGATAAACCTCACATTTCAGGAGTTAAGGCCATTGTTTAAATACTAGAGGTTGGGGTGAGAGAAGTGGGGAGTGGGGTGGGGCAGTTTGTCTGTACCTACACTGCATCTTCCTCTGAGGTATCTGCTGCTGGCCACTGCAAGAGACAGAACACTGGCCTCGAAGGACCATGGTTCTGATCAGTATGACAATTCTGATGGCTTGGGGTGACCTTTCATCAAGGGATGGGGGTAGTAAAAACTGGGCAGGTGGGTTTTATCTTTGCCTGCTGCTGGTTTGTTCAATGTTCTGTAAGCTCCCATGCTGGGCACAGCACATGCTTCTAAAATCACCTGCAGCATCTTTACCAGTAGACATGCGAGGGACAGCCCTGATATTTAAGCACCAAATGTAAAGGAGAATTGACCCTCCCCCCCGCCCCCGGAGAAGGAGAGATTAAGAGTCAGCGCATGTTACGAGACTGGGTTTTATACCACCCTCACTCCACCCACTCACCTGCCATATGGTTAGTGGTGCAGAATTCATTTCTAGCCTATTGCTGAACCTTAACCTTAACACAAACCCTTGAGCGGATCACTGCGGACTATGTGGCTCTGGGAAGAAGGATAAAGGAGTTAGAGGCACAAGTGGTGTTCTCGTCCATCTTCCCCGTAGAAGGAAAAGGCTGGGATAGGGACCGTCAAATCGTGGAAGTCAACGAATGGCTACGCAGGTGGTGTTGGAGAGAAGGCTTTGGATTCTTTGACCATGGGATGGTGTTCCATGAAGGAGGAGTGCTGGGCAGAGACGGGCTCCACCTTACGAAGAGAGGGAAGAGCATCTTTGCGAGCAGGCTGGCTAACCTAGTGAGGAGGGCTTTAAACTAGGTTCACCAGGGGAAGGAGACCAAAGCCCTGAGGTAAGTGGGAAAGCGGGATACCGGGAGGAAGCACAGGCAGGAATGTCTGTGAGGGGAGGGCTCCTGCCTCATACTGAGAATGAGGGGAGATCAGCAGGTTATCTCAAGTGCTTATATATGAATGCACAAAGCCTTGGAAACAAGCAGGGAGACCTGGAGGTCCTGCTGATGTCAAGGAATTATGACGAGATTGGAATAACAGAGACTTGGTGGGATAACTCACATGACTGGAGTACTGTCATGGATGGTTATAAACTGTTCAGGAAGGACAGGCAGGGCAGAAAAGGTGGGGGAGTAGCACTGTATGTAAGGGAGCAGTATGACTGCTCAGAGCTCCGGTATGAAACTGCAGAAAAACCTGAGTGTCTCTGGATTAAGTTTAGAAGTGTGAGCAACAAGAGTGATGTAGTGGTGGGAGTCTGCTATAGACCACCGGACCAGGGGGATGAGGTGGATAAGGCTTTCTTCCGGCAGCTCACAGAAGCTACTAGATTGCATGCCCTGGTTCTCATGGGTGACTTTAATCTTCCTGATATCTGCTGGGAGAGCAATACAGCGGTGCATAGACAATCCAGGAAGTTTTTGGAAAGCGTAGGGGACAATTTCCTGTGCAAGTGCTAGAGGAGCCAACTGGGGGGGGGGGGGGGGGGGCTTTTCTTGACCTGCTGCTCACAAACCGGGAAGAATTAGTGGGGGAAGCAAAAGTGGATGTGAATCTGGGAGGCAGTGACCATGAGTTGGTTGAGTTCAGGATCCTGACACAGGGAAGAAAGGTAAGCACCAGGATACGGACCCTGGACTTCAGGAAAGCAGACTTCGACTCCCTCAGGGAATGGATGGGTAGGATCCCCTGGGGGACTAACATGAAGGGGAAAGGAGTCCAGGAGAGCTGGCTGTATTTCAAGGAATCCCTGTTGAGGTTACAGGGACAAACCATCCCGATGTGTCGAAAGAATAGTAAATATGGCAGGCGACCAGCTTGGCGTAACGGTAAAATCCTAGCGGATCTTAAACATAAAAAAGAAGCTTACAAGAAGTGGAAGACTGGACATATGACCAGGGAAGAGTATAAAAATATTGCTCGGGCATGTAGGAATGAAATTAGGAGGGCCAAATCGCACCTGGAGCTGCAGCTAGCGAGAGATGTCAAGAGTAACAAGAAGGGTTTCTTCAGGTATGTTGGCAACAAAAAGAAAGCCAAGGAAAGTGTGGGCCCCTTAATGAATGAGGGAGGCAACCTAGTGACAGAGGAGGTGGAAAAAGCTAATGTACTCAATGCTTTTTTTGCCTCTGTCTTCATGAACAAGGTCAGCTCCCAGACTGCTGCGCTGGGCATCACAACATGGCTGGGATGATTTAAATGGGGATTGGTCCTGCTTTGAGCAGGGGGTTGGACTAGATGACCTCCTGAGGTCCCTTCCAACCCTGATATTCTATGATTCTATGACCCATTTCTAATAGTTACAATTTAACAAGCAAAGGCACCTGTTGCCCTCCGAACACCCTGACCCAGAAGCAGGCCTGTGCTCACTGCCCAGGAGATGGTGAGGTTAAATGTGATGCACTAGCACTGTTGGACATGGCAGGAAAATGATGATTTAGCTCCTTCCCACAGCAGATGCTGCCCATGATACCCCTAAGAACCCCAAGGAGGGGCAAAGGCCAACCGTCAATGGGAACCTGCTGGAGGCCAGTAATGGTAACACAAGGGCGATTCACCCCTTGGCGGCCTAGACTAATGCACAGTGTCCCGGTCGAGCGCAGGGGCTGTAACAGACCTGCAAGTGCTGCCAGGAATGATTGAGGCCCAAGGACTAAAACTGTACCCATGGGAAATTGACATTTCCAGCACGGGACTCGGTCCAATTCGAAACAAAACAATTTTTTCAGCCTTTCCAGGGAAGAGGAAATTCCTAGGAATCTTCATTTTGGGACTATGGACAGGTGGTGTTTCCAAGAGGAAATATGCTCCCCAGGCCCAGTCAGCTGCTGAGTGAAATTAACACGATTCATATCAGTTTCGCTGATGCCCACCACCAACCAGCAGCTGCAAAATCATTTCCCTTTTACTCAGCAGCTGCCTGGCTTTGCAGGGGCTGCATTTCGGAGGCATCCTGAGCTGGGGCCACAGGGTGTGGACTCTGCAAGCCCAACCCCAGGAATTCCAGGCTCCCAGCTCCAGGGAGGAAGCTTGGAAGCCTCGCAAGCCCAAGCTCAGGTGTGGCTCTCAGGGCCACCAAGCTCCCAGCGCCGCAGTGGGGAGTTTGGAGGCCCTACAGTCCCCAACTCCGGTGCAGCCTTGGAGCTGCAGACCCTGGAAGCCCGGGGTGTCCAGCAGCCTGCCAGGTGAGCTGGCAGGGAACCAGGGAGGTTTTGTTCCAAACTGCCACCTGTGGTTTGATGAATGTTAACTGAACCTGCCACATGCCTGTGAAACATTTTGGGTTAGACAGATCAGCATTTTCCTATGCAACCCTGTGCTGGCAGACAATTCCTGACCAGTTCTACAGAGGCCACAAGTTGCTGTCCAAGGGATGCCAATGACTCCGTCCCTGCCCTCTGCCATATCTCCATTGTAGCTGTCTGTGACCCAGGCACTATTTGCACTTTGGAAACCGCTAAGACGTGGTTGGGGAAACTTTCCCTTGCTGTAAAACTGCAAGTCTCTTGGGAATGAGCCATGTGGTGTGTTGGCTGTAACACAAACACACATTAGAATGGAGGCAGGACCATTTCAGATTCCTTCTAGGAGGCAGAAGGGGTGTCTTAAAGTGACATTTGGGTTGTCTCCCAAGAGCCATGCACAGATGTTCTCATACCTGCAACCTGCATAGAAAGGAGGCCTGCTGCCTTTAAGACCCCGCTTCGCTCTCCCTACAACCAGGAGAGGTGATCCTCAGTGTAGATATGATGGGCAGGAGCAGAGGATTAGCTTCAAGCAGCATTATCTCTCCGCACAGTCCTCATTAACTATAAGAGAGCAGCCAAAGGGGAACCCAGTCAATAGCAACCAGGAGACTGCTGGATCCATGCTGCCAGGACATAGGGGGAGGGGTCCAGAGGGGCCAGGAGTCATCTGTGATTTATAAACTTAATGACTGTAATGACTGCAGTGGACAGAAAACGGATTCCGACTTCTCTGCAGTGAACAGCAAGCAAAATGGTTTGTATCCAAGATACCTCCACAGCAACAGCACTGCAGTTCTTTGGCAAGGAGTTACAAATGAAGTTAAACTTTCCAAGTCTGAATAATTGTTCCCATGTATGGCCTTTCAGTGCTAACATGCCACCTGGGGTGGTGCTTGTAAAAAGCTACTGGATAAAGTGCTGTAAATGACACTTGCAAATATTAGGATCAGTTTGTCCCACTCTCCAGTCCACTTACAGGAAAAAGGGACTTGATGTCCTTCAGGACTTAGTATTAAGTGAGTTTTAGCAATGCAGATTGTATACGGGCCTTTCTCCTATTGGAGGGAGCTAATTGTTCAAAAGCATGTATTATTTCACTCTCGGTACACTGCAAACTAGATTAAACACATTTGCAACTCATTCTTTCTTCCTGCCTTCCAGGCATGTACTGTCACGAGAAATCTGACTGCGTCTGCAGTGGAATTTCTTCCTGGTTGGCTATAATCTGTGTGAGTGAGGGTCAAACTTCAGGCAGTCTAGTATAGTTCAGTGTGTGAACTGATCAAGCCTGAGATTCAGCCAAGGATTAGGCTACACTGACACTTGTTGCGGACCAGGTGCACTGGTCACCTTCACAATCTCTTTTACTAGTTGATCACCATTTGTTAGTTTGTACTGTTACCCATTAGGCTGTCTACACTACAGATCTCACAGCAGCACAACTGTACGGCTGCAACTGCGCTGCTGTAAGGTCTCCTGTGTAGCCACTCTATGCCAGCAGGACCCCTGGCATACCTGGCATAACTAAACCACTCCCAATGAGCGGTGGTAGCTATGTCGGCAGGAGATGCTCTCCCAGCGAAATACCACTGTCCACATCAGTGCTTTTGTTGGTGAAACTTATGTCCATCAG